AAAAAAAAAAAAAAAAAAAAAAAAAAAAAAAAATAATTATATTATATATTATAATTTTTTTTTTTTTTGCTTCTGGTTTGTATCTGACTTTTCCCTTTCGCGTGTTCCTTCTCTGCTCTCTCTCTTTCATGCCTCTGTTCTTCTCTCCTGTTTCTTTCATTATGTTCTGATGTTTCTTCCTCTTGACCTCCACTTTCCAATTCCTCCTTGTTTCCTTTTTCTATTTCTCTCTTGCGGAATTCATCATAGAATTTCTGTGCATCTTCTATATTTTCTATCTTATATCTTTTTTCCTTGCCAAGATACTAGAACCCCTTCTGGTACCAACCATCTGTACATTATTCTGTTTTTATTTAACTGGTTTGTTAAGAATTGGTACTGCCTACATTGTTCCCGAATTCTTCGTGGAATCTGTTTGAGCATGATCAACTCTTTTCCCTGTAGAGTAATTGTCTCTTCTCTGGTTTTTTTGTACACTTCATCTCTCGTTGTTGTTTTTTTAGCAAATCTTACATGCACTTCCCTCGGGAGTCCATGTCTTCTGGCATAATTAGTATGCACCCTATAAGCCTCATCAATGTCTCCTCTCAAATTAAGAGATTCAGTGAGAATTTTGATTACTTTTCCTTTCCCATCCTCCACCTTCTCTTCCAGTATGTTTTGGAATCTTAGGTAGAATGCAGCTCTTTCATTTTCCAGTTGAATTAATTATAGTTTTTCTATGTGTCTTTTAATACTTGTTTTCTCTTATCACAGATATTCATCAGGGTTTTTAAAAATTCTGCTGCCATATTTACTTTTATACAAAGTTGCTCCCTTAATTACTGATTTTCCCCCCACTGACTTTATGATTCTTTTTGTTTTGCCACAGTTTGGGACAGGCACAGTTTTGAAAACTACATTGGAGCTCCAGTATAAACTACTCTATAGTAGCTACAATTTTGTGGAAATATCTTTTTTCCAGTCTTGTGTTTTAGCAAAACCTTAACTGTTCCAGCAGGTAAAACAATTTTCCACAGTTACCTGTTTTTATGCAAAACTTCATAGTCTGTGACAGGTAATCCAAATAGCTGCTCACCAGATGAATATGTAATAAATTTCCTCCAGAGCTCATCAAAGTTTGCCTAATAAATAAAATATATAGAGAAATTAAGAGTTTAGATCATTCACAAATAATCCTCCCCTTTTTGGGGGGGCGGGCTAACATTTTGATAGCTAAATGTCAGTAGTATGCAGAACTAAATTAAAAATAGATGGGGCCACTTACATACTCTTATACACATCTGCATATAATACAAATGTATTCAAAATTTGCCTTATACAAATGTATGTGTGTGTCATCAAATAAGGTGTAAACTCATTTCCTGTTGACTACATAAACACAACCATGACATTTATTTTGCAGTGTTCTTTAAATGGTTTATTACTGCCTTCTCCAAGCATGTTTTTTATGTTCCAGTCTCGGAGCCTAAAATTCCCTAGTGATCTTCCATCCAATGTCTAGCCATACCTATTGTCCTGAGGTGGAATGTCTAGCTGTGTGTGTGTGTGTGTGTGTGTGTGTGTGTGTGTGTGTGTGTTTGAAGAGGCTAGTGAGCTTAGACTCTTTGCACAGTAGAAAGTGACACAAAGCTCTCTCTCTCTCTCTCTCCCCCCCCCCTCTCTCTCTCTCACACACACGCACAAACCTAACACACAAAATTCCTAAAGTCCTTATCTGGCTGTTCCCAAGAAAATTCAGTGAGTCTGGTTAGAATTAGATTCTTGTAAATAGGCTAGCAACAATAAAGAAGCAACTCTGATCACAATGCCATTCTGGTTCCTTGTGCCTGTTCTTGGGAACAGCCAGATGAAGACTTCAGAGATTTGAGGGGGGGGGGGGTAGCGTCAGGTCTGCATCACTTCCTGCCCTGTAGGAAGCTTACCAGTCTCTTCACTCCTTCCCCCAATTCTAGCTGTAAATTCAATGACCTCTTTAATTTATGAAAATAGATAGGGTTGACTAGTCCTGCCACCATATGCATATTCACATCCATTGTATATATCTACTTATCACCAGTAATCATTCTCACATCCTCAATATACCAATTCAGCCACACTCCAACTCCATCCAATTCCTTCTTCTGAGCAGTTACAACAATGGGACTTGAAAAACAGCTTCCCATGTAACATATGAGACTGCATTAATCTCATCAGATATTCCACAGTGCAATTAATGTATAAACAGAATGTGGATAGCCATGTGTCAGGAATACTCTAGTAGTGGCATTAGATAGCCATCTGTCAGAAATGCTCTAGTAAGAGTTGGACTAGGTGATCTTTACAGTCCATTGTAAGACTTACGTTGTGTAATTCTGCAAACTAACCTATACTGTAGTATTTAGTGAAGGGAATAAGAAAGATGAATCATTCTATATACGCCTGAATACATGTATACATAAAAAGAGAAAACAACATACTCTATAGAGGGATGAAATAATACCAAACCTAATTGGTTATCTATTTGGTTATCTTGTTGTCCAGTAGAAGATCTTATACTTCACGAAGTTAAATAGCTATGCAAGATTCAGGCTAACCGAATGGCTCTCAAAGTGCCATGTAAAAGATGAGCCACAAAATTATTATAATAGAAAATAAAATATCAAGAAATATGACTGAATAAACAGTGGAATAAATGAAAAACAAAATATGTTTAGCAATAAATCTACTCATGTATTAACTATCAATTTGCTGCAATATTTTTTATTAAATAGAGATATACCTGTTTGGTTTGTAACTGCTGAAATGGAACAAATCAGACACAAAAAACCAACTAACCTTATTGTAACTTCAGAATACACAATATACAAAATGTTCTCAAGGTTTCCAATTCAAATGCACAAAATGCTATCTTTTATTTAAAAAGTGCATTAATAATTTTTATAGCTTCCAAGATAAAACAGAGTTTTCAAAAGAAACATTCAGTAGAATATAAATTGAAATAATTTCCTTTTGAGAGAACTAATAGGTCTCTTGCTACTCAATTTAACACTCAATAAAATTTTACCTGAAATATCTGTAATCTATTGCTAGCTTCTTGAGGTGGTGTATTTGGAACCATTGGTCCTTCCTAAAATACACAAAATGAATCAAAACTAATTATCTGATAAGATTAAATCCTATGTTCTGTTCTCACATTCTTTCAACAGAGACATACAATCACTAGGGTGTGGAAATTTAATATTATAGACCATTATGCTTTATATTATTTGTGTAGTTGTTACAACTGTGTAGCACTTTGAATTTAATTCTTCATAGCAATTATGTGAAACGGTACAGGTTGTACAGTATATCATGTTCCAAAGTACAGTTTGAGAATTAAATGTGAAATACTTCAAAGCTCTACTAGGTATAATTATTTTCCTTACATATTTATTCCATGTTTGTGATACAACAATATCAAAAGCTTTTCTTTTTTAATTGGATTACTTCATTCATATCAGTTTTTAATCAAGACAATACTGACACCACAAGTTTTGCAACAGAGTGATTCAAGGACAAACATTGATAAGCTAGCTTTATTTATTGCAAAAACTAGAAACACTGGCTATGAATAAATCTAACAATTGCCAAGACTGACATACAATCCATATTTGTAGTGGAAGCAAAAACAAGTTTGAGGTCACTTCCTTCCACCCATGCTACTTATTAAGCCTAAAATCATCACACTCTGGACTGGGAAGAACAGATGTTTCATGTCTTTTGTTATGGTAATGAATTATTCTGATTTCCAGCTCTCTGTATTTGACCTTAACGGTCCGCAAAATTCCTGTTAAGCCCAGAAATATTTAATGTTTACATTTTTAATGAATTTTTGTATATTGCTACTTGTTATTTCAGTTAGGCCACAGTAAGTTATTGGAATCATTAATAACTCAGTAAGTTATTATAATTGGATTAAGTTTTCTTCAATCTATAGGGTTGAGTCCTAGTCATAAAGTAATTAGATTTCAAGCATTAACAATTTAGTATTTTAAATCTCTAGAAGTAAATATTTTTAGTTAAAACAGCCAGCTGTAGTTTCTCCACAACTCCCATATAAATCAAGTTACCGTCTCATATGCTACTTCATAATTTGACACATCTTCACGGAAAATCTCAACTGCCTCCAGAAGCTGACCCTTAAACTTGGGCTGGACTTGAATTAGTTCATCCTGAACACTAGCCTGAAACAGAAATAAATATCTGGAGTAAGAATGAAAAATAGTTATGATTATAGTTATATATATATTTCCTCAAATCTAAAGACTCAGTAAATTGTTATTAATTTTATTTAAATGCAGAACTGTGAGAACAGAAATGATCCAGTATATATCTATTGGCAAGATTTGAGAAAAATAAGTGGTTTGGGAATGCAAAAAAAAAATATGTTTAAATCTTGGAGGATTATATAAATTGAATGAAAACCTGAGGCTATGAAGTTAAGGTATAGATTTGGGCAAATATATGGTGGCTATTATATAGATTCCTGAAGGAATAAAAATTTGTAGGTAGTCTTGGAATTTTGTAGAGATCCATATACCAGGACTATTGCTATTATAGAACAATTTCATCTACTTTGAATATTGTGAATTTATAGTCATAAACTATTACTTTATAATAGGCTCTTTTGACATACTTACTGCTTTGCTCTGAAGCTTATTAAAAGAGTAACGTAATGTATCAACACTTTCTGATTCTTCCTTTGTTACTTCAACTTCAAATCTATATAAAATTGTGTAGGCTTCCTAAAACAAAATCAGTATTACACAATTCACAACCTTGAGCACTCTTGGTTTTTTTTTATAAAAAAAATCTTGTTTCAATGAGATTCTTGCTTTTAAGGAACTTACTTCAATGGGCCCCATTATCATATCCATTTCTATTTCTTTATCACGTATATTGGACAGAGCTTCCATAGCAAAACGGACATCATCCAAATCTCGAATTGGTCGAGATAATTTTTTCAGATACTCCGTTACAAAACTTATCATGTCTTGCATTTTTTTCTTGTATTCTTCATTTAAATAGCGACATAGTAACATTTTCCATGCTTTTGCTTCAATTGAAAGAGCTAATTTCATCGGCCCTGTTGAAAAATTGACATACTGCATATGCCAAGCTATTGATGTGTGAATGCCTCATTCTTAAATGCATTGTACAAACTGCTCTAAAATAGAACTGTACTGTCAGAAAATTTACAACATATCATCTGGGCCTGAAATAGTTGTGCTGCTTGTTTTGCATGCATAAAGAGCTTTGGGTTTCTATTGTTTGAACATCAAATTCTTAAAATATTTTTGCCCCAAAAGACTAAATGTTGAGAAATGTTAGTTGAAAATCCTAAGCTTCAAAATCAAAAGAATTTAAAACACGTCTCTGTGCTCAGTTGTTACATTCTCAGTAGTGGTTTGTCAAACTTGAAAGAGCAAGCTAAGTCCATAAGCTCCTCCCTCTAATTGTTTGGAATAGCTGATATACATTTTGTACAATCATATGTTAGTTTTCATGATGCACAGAGATTGAGAGAGAGATTGGGAATTATACATGCAAAAATTATATGACTGAAATTAATGGAATATAATTTCTGCATAGCATTTTAAAGACCATTTCTTCTTTAAAAATTGGTCATTATTGATTTATGGCCATGGTTGGAGTCATGCCACCTTTTAACCTTTTTCTTTGCAATATTTATCATATTTATTGCTATTTGTATTGATTTCAGTTTTTAAATATAAGATTTGTCAGGAAAACTATCACTGGTCAGATTAAAAGTATAATTTTTATATTTTAGTTAATTTATATTAATATTGCTGTGCCCAACTTTTCATTAATTATTGTCTTTATATTTTTTGAAGTATCAATTGGCCAGATTTATATTGATACAGCTATTCACATAAAATTAACAATTGTATATTATTTAAAGATATAGACTATTCCACCTTTTTTTTTGCTAATTTTATCTATGCAAATATTTCTGTCTTCTCATTATTAGATGTTTTTCTAAATATTGCAGCCTCCATTTCATACCTGTATTGAGTTCAATGGGACCAACAGAAACTGTTGGTTTTAAATCTTCTATTTCCTGTTCAAAGGTAGCATAATGAAGAATTTCTGATCGGATCTCAGTCAGAGATGGATTATTGGCCAAAAATTGCTGTGAGGAATTGCAACCATTAATATTGTTATTGAAGTAGAATTAACTTAGGTACTGTATCATTTCAATTCTGGTCCTTTCTACTAGGTCACATGCTTTGAATTGCTATAGGTAAACCATAAACAATAGATTTGCTTGTGGCTGTGGATGTATTCCTATCTTCTTCTCCATTGTGTCCCCTGTGACAATGTCTCCCACCAACTACCCATTTCTAGAATTCTTTTTGGCTGCTGAAGGCCTACTTTGCAGCTGGTCTATTGCTCTGTATTATAATGCAGTGCAGCCCTACATCAGTTGGCAAAGCTGGTTCTTTGACTTTATTAGGGATTCTGAATGTTACAAAGAGATAACTAATGTATACAAAAACATCTTAAGAGGGTTGAAGCCAGCCCCCATCTCAGAATCCTTATGAGATTAGAGGAAACGGTATTATTATTACTCAATGACTGATTGTCTTTCCCATTAGCTGCACCAAATATGTTCTACCCTTCCCTTCTTCCCCAGCAGATGCTATCTGCGTATCGGATGTCAAAGAAATGACAAATCTGGCTTTCATAAAGATGGAAAAACAATACCAGGAGAGATACATCCTTAATAAATGACTGAATGAATTATGTCAGTTTATTGAGAACTGATTCTAAGTAGGCCTCAAACATTTGTAATTCATTTAGTGTAACACACCATTACCGTACTGACACATGAGCCATGGTGGCACAGTGGTTAGAATGCAGTACTGCAGGCTACTTTTGCTGATTGCTGCCTGCAATTTGGCAGTTTGAAGCTCGCCAGGCTCAAGGTTGAGTTAGCCTTCCATCCTTCCGAGGTGGATAAAATGAGGACCCAGATTGTTGGGAGCAATATGCTGACTCTGTAAACCACTTAGAGAGGGCTATAAAGCACTGTGAAGCGGTATACACAGTAAGTCTAAGTGCTATTGCTATTATTGGATAGCAAGCTCATTGCTAAGGCTGAAAATGCTGATTTACAACTGCTTCCTTAAACTGAACTATGCTATTTATCTTTCACAGAACTTTCAAATCATAGTAAAGGTTCCAAAGTGGGTATTACCTGAACTTTAGCGTCCCTATCTTCTATCCACAGGGCTTTATACTTTTGAAAGTCTTGCAATGCTTCACTTGCAGCTTTCCTTACTGAGTTTACTGCTGAGGACAGAAGCACAACTAATTTGGATATATCCTTATGTTCTGCCACACCCGGATAAAAGTTTCTCAGCTTTCTAATAGGAAGTTGATCCTCCTGTGTTTCTGAAAAAAAATATTAACGTACTGCATAAATATTTCACATTCTTTACCTATAGATAGACAGACAGACAGACAAACAATCAACAGCTATGTGAATTATGTATATCTTCCTCAAGAAAGTTTTTATTTTCTTGACTGAAGTAGAATTTATTTATTTGTAATATGGTACATTCACATCACATTTTGATTTTTTTTAAAAAAACACCACAACAGTAAAAATATAAAATATGAAATATAAAATATAAATCTATATTTGTTTTATATAATTTTAGCTTCATTGATCACAGTCAGGAAATCAGCAAAATACTGCAGTAGAAGAATCTTCTTAATTGGCTTGATGAGATTACATATTTTCCAGAAAGAAAAGCAGTAGACCCACTTATATGGAATAGTGTTGATTCATTGGTAGCAGAAAAGACTCATCTATTCATACCTACATCCTCTCTGCTAACTAAAATTTATCATAAAACTGTAAAAAAAGTTTCTATAGTTGAAAATGTCTAGTGCAATGTTTCCATATTTTTAAATGGGAAGAATTAAAATGATTGGTGAGTTCTAGGAACCTGAACCTATCTTGGTTCATTTATTTTTAAATAATATTTACTGAATACTAAGCTGCTTCTCTGGTTAGGATTATTTAAACTGAAAGACAGGGATAATGACACACACACACACACAAACACACACATACACACACACACAGAGAGAGAGAGTCCTTAACTTTTAAAATGAAAATACCAATCAAAAGGGGTTTTTACTGTAATTATTTAAAATGATTTTTCTTACAGCATTATATTTATATAAAACCACAAGGCATATGTTAATACAGTAATATTATGATGTTAGAGTACCCTGTTTTTCATTTAAATAAAATATTAATCAGAAAATTGTTTCAGTACTAATGAAACATACTTAAAAATGCACATAAAGAAAAACATTTTCTTTATTAAATGGGAGATGGAGAGACTCCTTCCCCTCCATGTTCAAGGCAAGGTACTCACAATGTAGAGCTAATATAGAAACTTCAAGACCAATGATGTCCACATACATATTTTATTTATTTATTATTACATTTGTTTGCTGCCTGTCTCACAGTTGTAGGAGACTCCAAGTAACTTGTCCAGTCCCTTTTTAAAAGCTCAACACTTCTTGGCTCTGGATTTATAAGGAACCATTCAAATTGTTCTATCATAGCAGCTACATCATACACACTAGTTCTCTAACCTAGTGGTGTTCAAATGTGCTGGACAAAACTCCTACAATTCTGAGTCCATGCGAACTTATGAGAGAAATAATTTAAAATAACTGGATGGTAACTAATTTATAAAACTCATTTTTATTATGCTTTCATAATTTATCGTAATAGAGATAAAATGCAATTTGACTCTATGTATCTATTTAAGAAAGCAAACTCTATTCAGTATATAAGGATTTACATCTCAACAAGCATGCTTAGATGAATCAAAAGTTGGAATTACAACCTCAGATATGCAGATGATACAACTCTAATGGCAGAAAGTGAAGAGGAACTAAAGAGCCTCTTGATGCAGGTGAAGAAGGAGAGTGCAAAAGTTGGCTTGAAACTCAACATTAAGAAAACTAATATCATGGCATCCAGCTCGCTCAATTCCTGGCAAATAGATGGGGAAGAAATGGAGGTAGTGACAGATTTTATTTTCCTAGGCTCCAAGATCACCGCAGATGGGGACTGAGGCCAAGAAATTAAAAGATGTTTGCTCCTGGGGAGGAAAGCTATGGCAAATCTAGACAGCATACTAAAAAGCAGAGACATCACCCTGCCTACAAAAGTCCATATAGTCAAGGCTATGATTTTCCCAGTTGCAATGTATGGCTATGAAAGTTGGAGCATAAGAAAGGTGAGTGTAAAAGAATTGAGGCCTTTGAACTATGGTGCTGGAGAAGACTCCTGTGAGTCTCTTGGGCTGCAAGACAATCAAACTGGTCAGTCCTAGAGAAGATCAACCCTGACTGCTCTTCAGATCAGTCCTAGAGAAGATCAACCCTGACTGCTCTTTAGATCCTGAAGATGAAACTCAAGTACTTTGCCCCCCCCCCTCCCAATGAGAAAGAAGGACTCACTGGAGAAGAGCCTAATGCTGTGAAAGATTGAGGGCAAACGAAGAAGGGGACGACAGGGCTAGATGGAGTCACCAAAGCAATAGGCGTGAGCTTAAATGGATTCTGGGGGATGGTAGAGTAAAGGAAGGCCTGGAGGAATGTTGTCCATGGGGTCACGATGGGTCAGACACTACTTTGCAACTAACAACAACAACAAAGCATTCTTAGAATTCCACTTGTGGAATTCTTCCACTGTGACTCTCTTCTGGGTAGTTAAAATAAGGCTAACATTTTAGAAGCAATATTTTTAAAGGAGGAAAAAAGAGAAACAGTGATCTTACTTTCTTCTCTTTTTTGTAGTTTCCCTAATATACTAGGTGATGCAGGAACATTGCTTTCCCCCTGGTTGTTGGATTTTAACAAGTGATGCTGGCCCCAGTGAGCGACACCACGGCTTACATCCAAGGTCAACTGAATCATACGGTTGAGGGCTTGCTGGATATCATCCAAACTGGGCACCATCACCTGAAAATAGAGGGGGGAAAAGCTATTTTTTGAGAATGGTGCAGCTCTCTGGTACAAAATTATGTTTCAATGCAGTATGTGTAAACAATGAAATATTAGATCTGCACTTTCAAATGAAGTGGCAAGTTTTCTTCTATCAAATGGAACATAAAAGCTGCAATTTTTCCAGGTTGCAGAGAAAGAACCCAAATCTTGACTGCGTTATGATCCATCACAATACTAACATGCAGGGTTTGAGCTAGTGAGCAGATTTTTGCAGATGAGAGCTGTTCGCGCAAAGTTTCTCTCTACATCTGCCTTCCTATTTCTTGCAGAAATAAAGACAGCACTGGAATGGAATGGAACTTCTATTATAGTTCCTTCTTTTGATTTCTGACATTACTAAATGATGCAATAATATGATATACTTCACTTACTCTAATAGACAGCTTATAATTTTATTCTAATCTTACTCTAATAGACATATCATGCAATTTTAATTCTAGAAATTAAGAAACAGAGTGTCATCCAGTTCTTTGTAGTTCAGTTGTGCCTGGAGCTGTTGCTGCATTTGTATTTCAATGAACTATTTGTATTTCTATTTGTATTTGTAAGCATGGATCTATACAAATACAAATACAAATTTCAATGAACTGACTTTGACAAGAGCTGAAAACAAATCCTGAAGCACCTTAAAGCAAATTTATACAATATAGGCCTTCATGAACAAATCTTCTTTCACAGCATGCATGAAATTGATATTTCCATTTGATATTTGGATATTTAGCACTACATTCTGTTCAAATATATTTTATTATTTTAATTCATTTTTGTTACCAGATCAGCTTTCCAACCTTCTGATATCTTCCTGAATATTTCATATCCATCTGTGTATTGTCTATTGCATCATCCAAGCTTTTATTAACCATGTTGAGTAGCACTGCGCATGTAACATAGTCAGAAGAAATTAACAGATTATGGATTATTCTGTGATTGCAAAAATCATGTATAACAAAACCACTTACCACATGAGGAATGGCTAAATGCACTTCAGCTTTCAGAAAAGTAACAACATCTTCAGGTTTGACTGTTGTCTGAGGTAAATAAGGCAATCGTCCAAAGTTGCTGGAGCTGAACAAGAAATGAAGATTAAATCATTTATTATATTAAATACAAGAATTCAGGGAGAACGGGCTATCATAAGCTCCTCAGAGGAATCTTTTAGGCCATTGTGGCACTCACAATTCCCAGGGCTAAGATAGACCATTGATTAAAGTTTATTTTATGTTTAATAACTAATTAACAATAATTTGTTTAATAACAAATAACATTTCTATCCCCCTATATCTAGCACTATGTTTTCTGTGCACTTATTAGTTTCATAAAGTTCAAATATTTTGAAGTAAGATTAACTTCTGGTAGCTACATAGACCATCCAAGGAAGGATCCATCTAACTTGCATGAATCCAGGCAGCTTAAAAGTTCACGTATTGCATTAACCGGTCTAGGAAATAAGTCATAAGTGACTTTTCACCATATGCTAAGCCATAAAATGGAGATTCTTTATCATAATCACACAGTCAAAAATCCTTTGTTTTTTTAATGGAAGTCATGGTGATAACCTCCTGGATTAAGAAAAAAAATCTGAATATATTTACTGAATACCTTTACCCTTATGGTTAAAACGCAAATGATCAAGGAATGGCAGGTGGAGTTAGGAATTCAGGGATTTGTTTATTTCTTGTTATTGAAAACTTTATTAGTTGTTAAAGAAGCTTTCAGCTGGAATTTACTCATTTGTTCCTTTCTGCTGGTAGAAACAAAAATGCCAAGTGTATCAGGGCAGGTGGGAAAAAAACAAATTTTCACTTATATCACTTACCTTGAAACAAATACTCTTCTTTTAAGAGCATCTAAGGATAATCGTGTAGTTTTCTGCAGGCTATCCAGCAACTGATGACTAAAATATGCAACTACCTCTTTACATTCCTGCAGTTAAAAGCAGCAGTTTAGATTCATGTCAATTACATATGTGTTGAAAACCATTCAGCAATTTATGTTCTCTAACATAGTCTGTGAAGGTTACTGTTACTGAATTTCCTGCTGAAAACAACATTCCTATTTTTAGCTAAATGGACCACAAGAAAATCTCAGGTAAGGCAAATGAGATTTGATTCAGAGCTCACCAAACTGACAAAGGCTGGTTTTAATAATGGAATGAAAGCACAGCTAGGTACTAAGCATGGATCTATGTGATTACTTAGAAGGTATTGGCAGGAAGGAGCCTCAGACAAATACTTTCTTCTCCTTGTTTTTATATTGACTAGGATAAAATTCAGAATTAGGTTTCACCAAGTGAAAATTGGATGAAAAGTTTCTAGCAAAAGTGAAGGAGGGGGTGGTTTCAGCACCTCTCCTCTGCGACTTTTCTATTTTAAATCGTACTGTACTAGCAAGATAATTCTGCATTAAATTTGTCTTTAATTTTGTTCAATTAAAGCAGTTTCACAGGATGAAATATTATATTGGAAAGTTAGAAGGACATTCAACAATTATCCTGATAAATAGTGCAATTGTTTTCAAATTCTTCCCATTATTTCAGTACTTTAATAGGTAATGAGATACCTTTTTAAACTCATCCTCTTTTTCACTGTCTTCAGTTTCTTCACTACTAATCATAATTGAAGACCCTGAAGAGAGTCTCTCTTCTTCTCCACCTCCAAATGCTACATGTTTTCCTTCTATTGCAAATAAAAGAGAAGTGAATTCATTCAATCAACAGTCATGTGCATAAGTTCATATAGTAAATATTATGGGAGATTTTGCCTCCATTTACACATTCAATCTAAGGTTTCCACAGACTCCTAAATAGATAGAGCTCAATACATATGCTTCTATTGGTAGTCAGTCAAGTGACAATTTAGATTTATTGGTCATATTAGAGTCTTTGACATAAACACTGATGTAAATGTTAAGAGAAACATAAAACAGGAGCAGCAACTTGAGAGGAACATTTGATTCTACACCTAAGAAAGGAAAACTCGAATGATTCTACTCCTGCAATTGATGACTTAGACACAGCTTATAAATATAATAACTAGTATTATATTGTTATAGTTTTTTTTAAATCTTTTCATACAAACTTTGTATCCAATAATATGACATAAAACCCAGCATTTGGAAGATAGTCTGTTCCTCTTAATTGGGACCAGCACAGCCTGTAGACCAGGGGTGTCAAACTCAAGCCCTGCGGGCCAGATCTGGCCCATAGGATGCTTCGATCTGGCTTGTGGGGTCACCCTGGAAACAGGGAAGGACCAGCTCATGGTGCCTCTGCCAGCGAAAATGGAGCTTGGGAGAGCAGCAGAGCACTCGGGCCACCACACCACAGGTGCCTCTGACATGAATGACATTGAGCTGATCACGCCTACCCTGGCCATTCCCTCCCCCCCCCATGTGCAAGGTTAAACATAACCCTGATGAGCCCCCAATAAAATCAAGTTTGATACTCTTGCTGTAGACACTGAGACTTGACAATTCACCTTGTCAGACTGGGGTTAAGATGAATACTTGGGTGTCTTTGATATATTGATGATAGCCTGGCTCAAAATTATTGAATGTCCTCACCTATTAATCTCAGGCAAATATTAAACAAGAGATGGGAGCATTGACCCTGAGCCATCCTGAATTTCAGAGTTTTCTAGCTCAGTTTCTCCCATCTACTGCCTGCCAACACTAGTCAGAGAGCACCAGAACATTATTCATCCCATCTTATTGCCATAAGTAGTCCAGAAAGATATCATGATTTTCCATAACTATGTGCCAGTTGTGCTCTTTCTACTTGAGCTGTATTTTCAAACTTGCAAGATTGATGTCAGCCTTGCGAGGTAGTCCAGATAAGAAATTTAACCAGATTAACAAATACTAGCTCTACTTTATTATAAGGTTATATTAAAATAATCTTATAGATTCTGAAAGTACATCTTTCCCCCTTTGGGACATATCAATTCTTTAGGTTCTGGCCATCACTGCATACTGGTTGTCCAATTCACATTTACAACATTGCAGGGAGCTGTGGTCACATGATTGCCAATTGTGATTTCCTCTGCAAGCTTCCCACAAGAAAAATCAATAGGGAAGCCAGCTAGAAAAGTTGCAAGTCATTCTGATAAGTCTCCCAGGCTTACCCAGGCTTGCACCTCACTCTGCACCCTCTATCTCCTAGTGTTCCTGTGCTCATGATGCAGTTCTGCGCCCTCCATTCCATGGGCTTCCTGCACTCATACAGCACCACACCCTCCCACCCCATGGCCTTCATGTGCTCACACATTGCTGCAGCAGTCCCCTCCCAAAGCCTCCCTTTCACATTCCTATAGCATCTCAGGATTTCTTACCCGAATATACTGCCAGATAAACAATTAAGTGTCTATTAAATACAAGCCAGAATTAATATATTTCCAGGCAGCAAAACGTCTTGTTCTAATGACGTATAATAAAGAGTGAATTCCTTGTTATGCTTCCAAAATTAGAATCACAGAAAAATACTATTAATTATTAAAATCACTATATACAAATAGAAGAAGTCTTGATGATAATAGTTAAATTCTTAAAGATGAAGGGAACTATAAGTAAATAAATACCTGGTGAATGAGCTTTTTTGGGTGCTGGCTTTTTAACATGTTTAACTTCATAAATTTGTTCAAATATTGATATGAGTTCTTGTACAGCATCTTCTATATGTCTACTTTTATTGTTTAATATTTCAGCCCATTCCTTTGTATATACCTGTTTAAATACAATCACAGTGTTGTATTTATTTCACTAGACTTTTACGTAGCTTTAATCATTGACTGGACAACTTGAAATCTTTATGTACATAAAGAAGATTAAAACAACCAAGCTCCTTCTCAGCAACATTAACACAGATAACCTATGCTGGGGAACAAAAACAACTGATATAATCAATATTAATATGCAGGAAAAATCTCCATCAGAGCCAGACATGATTGACTTTCTGAATTCCAAGTGTGATAAGGCAAATTACACATTCAGTGAGACATTATTCCAGAATAAAGTGCCATAGTAGATGACATTCATGGCCCTAGAGAGAAGCCACTCTTTCTCGTCTAACTGGACAGGTAGAAACTATTGGCATAGCTCAGTCTGTGAGATATCTTGACCCTGTTCTCTGAAGGTGAAATTCAGTGAACCTGGAAGCTGAGTGCCGCTCTTGAAATAGATAAGTTACATGAGCGAACAAAGGAAAGCCCATAATTATTTAAGCTGTTACAGTTTCTAGTGGCTTTCAAGAGCAGCTCAATGTAGAGTACATAGCTTAGTGACATCCAATCCCAAATGGGAAGTAACTATGGCACAAGCAGTTTTCTACTATGGGACCAAAATATGGACATTTAATAGTGATGGCATTATTAATTATTTATTATATGTACCTATACTGTCGTGTATTACTTCTACAGATATAGTCTGATACTGAAGCTTTCCAACTTGCCTAGATCACTTTTCTGGATGAAGCATCAATGATTTCATATTTACTAGTACAATTATTTTCTGCTATTTGGAATATAAGGGTTTCAAAAATGAATAGCAGTTATGTACTTGAAATAAATAATAATAATTAGGACTGTGGTAAATTCAAAGGAACTTCTAATAACAAGCTGAAGCAGATTCTTTAGGACTGACTATATAATCACACAAGGTGAAATGAATATCCTACAAAGTAAATTTCTGGAGTTATTCAGCATTTTAAAGCACTGGTCTTTCATCAACAGAGATGACTAAAATGTACATACATTTAGAAAATGAAAATGTCAAGCAAATCAATAAAACTAAAGGGAAATATGCTAGTATAAAGATGCTTGCCATCTTGTGGGAAAGTATGAAAAATAGAATTCTTTAGAATTCTAAAGAAATATTTAAAAATTCTCACAGCTAAATATCTAAAATAGTTCTTTACAGAGCCAACATTACGGTTATATACACATTCCTCACCAACAGAAGAATGGCTAAAAACTTTGCTTACCTCATTGCGTGACAGTAAATCCTCCACTTTTGTTGCACTTTCAGGTAGTATCAGAAGCAGAGTATTTGATATATCTTTCAGTGTTAAGTCAATCTGCATTTCACACAAGTCATTAATCTGTATTAAAGAAAATATCATTAATCGATTCCTTGTTAGGATTACATAAACATTTTGCTTGAATTTTTTTAAAAAAAACATAAACTGGGGAATAATAAGAAGTTTCACTAGAAAAACATATAGTATGATTAATCAATTAGATTAAGTTAAAATAAGGTTAAAATGAAAAAGCTGTGATTGAAATCCATACAACATAAAAGATTTGTCTATGCTCCAATCCTTCAATAAGACTGTAACGTAATTGTATTAAATAACAATATAGTAAATTAACTATACTGTTCTTTCGGTCTTATGACACTTATGACATCTTAATTTGAATTAAGCTGTAGAGCCAACATTCACAGCAACAGAATGCATGATTTGCATTCTTGGGGCCCAAATTCAATCCTTGATGCCACTAAACATACCTTTTTCAAAAGCTGATTAAACATTTTTATAACTTCATCAACATCTTGAAAGAAGCTGTTTAATGTCAGAGAAGACCAAGTTAAAATAGTAAGCCCTTGCCTCAGTACAGATTCCACCTAGTAAAAGGAGAAGGGGAAAAAAGAATTATTAGGACCATAATAAATTTTTAGCATCTCATAGATTATACTGCACTAAACACCCTTAATGACTTGGTTGATCCAGATGAGTTTCAGAGGAAGCTGGTGGTATGCCTGTCAATTTGCCACACAGTCCAAATGAGGCCTTGGATACCACCTAAAACACGGGGACATGCAGTCACTAGAGGCAGGGGAGGCGTGGCCTCACCAGTCATGAGGAAAAGGAAAGAATTTTAAAGGTTTTTAAAAAAATAATTAAAGCCAAGGTAGTTGCTATCAGATTCTAAGTCACAGTGACTTGGAACAGTGCTTAGTGTTAACTATAGGAGGAGGCCAGAGAACTAGGAGCCTCTTTTGCATAAAGAATTTTTCGCCTTTTAAGAGTTAACCAAGGGTTAAAAAGTGAAGAATTTATGCAAATGAGGCACGTGTTCTCTCGCCTCCTGTAGAGGGCATTTTTAGAGACTTTTTAGAGTTCTCTGGGAGCAACTAGCTCAGTCTGACTCAGAGCTCTGGCCTTTCATGAGGGCCGAGTTGAAATCGTCTCTGAAACAGCTGGAAAAGGTGCATGTGTGGGGAGGGGGGAGGAATTCAAAAAGTTTGATTGCATGCAGAACCCATGTTGCCTTTTCAAACACACACACATAGCTGGATAAAAGTATATAAGCCCAGCTTCACTGAAAAGGCAACTGATTCACCTGCAATCAAAGGCTCCAATCGGAAGGCAGCAGGGGAAGGGGGGGTTATGGCAGAGGAGCTGCTTTCAAGCCTTTGGAAAATATATCCAATCCAACTTCTGTGTTTGTGTTTGTTTGAGAGTGAGTGAATGAGAGAAGGATCCAAGTTCTCTGTGTGCGTGTGTCTGTTTGAGAGAGGGGGGAGGAAGGGAGAGAGGGAGGGAGGAAGGAGGGGGAGGGAGAAGAAAAAGAATGGGAAAACTAATTTTGCAAGGGGGGAAAATGCTGTCGCTTTAAATTGGAACTGAGCATACCTGGCTGTGGAATTCTGGGAGTTGAAGTCCACAAGTCTAAAAAGCTGCCTCACCAGCCACAAAACTCACGGCACGTCACTGCTAAAACAGGAGGTTCTATGTATGTTTTTGGGTGGACGGGATGTTGAGAGCCCCTTGTGGGGCTATGTGGAAGACAGTGCTCAACTCCTCTTGGATAAATCACTCAAATTCATTCTCAGCTGGATGTTAGCCTTGTTGTAAATCCCAAGGAAGTCTTGCCCTATTTTCTGGAAACAGTTTGAACAAGTTGCATCCGAGAAATTGGACAGGGACCTTGGGACTCTAAGCTCAGCCATCTGCTCTTTTATATCCATGGCCCTTCTGCCTTATTAAAGTTGCTGGGAAGGGGGTGTAATCAGGGTGGGTTCTGATAGTGGTAAATTCCTCCTTGGATGAGGAATTCATTCCTCTGCCTCTTAAGGTGGTGCTAGTTCATCCCCTCTTCAAGAAATCATTGCTGGACCCCAATATAATGAACAATTTTATCCAATATGTAACCTCTCTTTTGGGGTGGGGAGATAATAGGGAAGGTGGTTGTATACAGCTTTAGAGGATGCTAGATGAAGCAGATTATCTAGATTCCTTACAATTAGTAAGGGATGTGTGAATATGGGATAGAAACAGCATTGGTCATGCTTTCAGATGATCTCTTGGATAAGGGTTATGCGTACATTCTTGCTTTCCTTGACCTTTCAGTGGCTTTAGATAAGTATGTATAAGTATAATCTTTATTGTCATTGTACTTAAATACAACAAAATTGATTATTTCAAACTTCAAACACATACAAACACCCCCACACACTAAAAGTAAAACTAGAGGTGCTTGTAAATAGAGAGTATCTTCTAAAGTTTTTGGATGTTGACATTTCAGTTGTACAGAATTTCAATACTTTTTCCAACTTTTTAATTTTTTCTCTAATCAGCAACTACTTGTCTATTGAAGTATTTGAGTATAAAATTTGATGTTAGAATCTCCTTTGGAGCTCAGTAATCTTTTGGAAGATTTTCTGTGTTTTTCCATTTCTCTTCAATGGCTTTACAGATGTTATTATAACATTTCTTCTGTGACTTCTTACAACTCTCTGAAATCTTTTGTCAAGTTGCTTCCTGACACGTCTGTTTATATAGTTTATATAGCAAAAGATATTTATTTCTGTTTTTCAATAAATAAATTTTGTCCAAAATGAATATTGTAAAATTTAAAACAATTTTCACACAAATATAAAGTACAAAAATAAAGCAATATATTTAAAGTTTAACTTTAACTTTTTTTGCCATTAATGGCATAGTAAAAGAGATAAGGCAGCATCCTAGAAAGTACATTACAACTGACAAGAATAATGTAATCAAGAGATGAATATCTGTATATATACTAGGCAATCTGTTATCCATTAGGATTAGATCATCACTTCAAAAATATTTCCTTACATAAACAGAAGGAAGGTGAGTAATTGCTGCTGGGTTGGGGAAGGAGAGTGGAATTGTGAGACTGACTGGGAAATTGTCACATAATGTTGAAAATGAAGATTACATGATTTCAGCAGCAGCAGTGCACCAGCAACCAGTAGCACTGAAGTAGCCACAATTTTCCCAAATATTATTTCATTCAGAGTCAAGGCTGCTGGATTTTCGACATAGTCTGTAAGTTAAGCCATTTGAGGTATCTTAGTTCAAAAATTGCACCACTTCTCACAGTTAAAAGTCATGACAATGAGAGTTTTAGTAGTATATAGATAACTATCCTAATATATAGTATTTTGGGGGGGTATAAGACGCACCCTTTTCCCTCAATAAAGAGGCTGAAAATCTGGGTGTGTTTTATACACTGAATACAGCATTTTTTGCCTCATGAAATCCCGCCCCTTCACCAAAATGGCCGTGCAGAGCCTGTAGGAGGCTTTCCGAGAGCTCCTGGGGGCTGGGAAAGGCAGATATGAGTGAAAAATGAGCTGTTTTTTGCTCAATTTTGCCCCCCAGTCCTCATGAATACTCTGCAAGCCTCCTAAAGGTTATTCATGCCTTTTTTGGTTAAAAACAAAAAACAAAAAACGGCCTGTTTTCACGAAAAATGGGCTGTTTTCGGGAGATTTGTAGTGTGCAAACACTTTTTTTTAAAAAAATTGCCTCTTCAAAACCTTGGTGCGTCTTATACTCTGGTGCATCTTATACTCCGAAAAATACGGTACCTTCTTCATTTTAGGTCCCATCAAGTTGACAAACACGGTTGGAATCTCTTGGCACAAATTTTCATAGCAGTGTAGAATGTTCTGTGAATTAAAATAAATGTTCAAGTTTTAACTAAATTTTAATATAAATTAAAATATATAATGAATTTCCTAAAGCCTTCAGCCTAGACAGATTTCTGGGTAAAAATATACACATTTTTAAAAAAATATACTCTTCTGGAGCAAGTTTCAGCTATATATAGTTAATCCATTAACAGCTAGTCAAGATATAATGCATATAATTTTCAACATTATATTGCATTGCTCTGAATAGCATTAAAGATATTCTTGAAAATATCCAATGATGAGAAAGTCCTTATAGCATCAAAGTAACAATATTGAAAACCTGAAAAACTATTCTCTCTACAAGTTTAATGACCTCTTCCCCAGCAACAATCCTGATATATCTACCTCTTTTTTCTGTATTTTAAAAAGCTTCAATAAAAAAAATAAAAAAATAAAAAACTTCAAGGTTTCGAACTGTCGTGCTCTGTATTAATGTATGAATATTATTGCTGAGCTATTCTGACATTTTTATAGATACACATTTCTCAATTAAATGTCAGTTGAATGAGATTGCTCCTCCTCCCTGGCAATACATGCATATCCCAGCAAAATGTAATTTGCAATTAAAGTATTACCTTGGCTCCTTTTTGTTTTTTCTCTTTTTCTTCTCTTGTATTAACATATGCTCAACATATATCATGAAGTGTCCTTAATGTATACTTTACATCAAGATAAGTATTTGAAAAATCAACATACTTCTTCTTTACCTACCTCCAAGCATAATTTGTTTCCTTTTACTTCTCCTTCAATTTTGACTATCCTCTTTGCCTGCTCTGGTACCTCTAGGGCCATTTTTATCATACATTTTGTTTCTCGAACAATCTCTAAAATCTTGGGATCAAAATTTACCAGTAGCTTTCCAGTTTCAGGGTGACGTACCAATAAGGTAACCTGCATTGCTAAAGTCAAATATTGTAATTAGAGATAATTCCCTAAACTAATGAGACAGCATAATGGTATTCTTCAATAGCTTGCAATGGATTAAATGGCTTACCATACTCTAACTGTGAAATCTCTTTTATCCACGCTGTGTGATAAAGTACCTCAAACTCCACCAATACATAGGAAATTTTATTATATAATCGAACAACTGCTTTTCCTTCCACACTTGCCAAAATATCTGAGTTTTTCTGTTAAAATAATGATAATGAAAGAGTTACATCTTTAAAATGTAGGTGAATAAAATACTTCTGTTTTTACTAAACAGTACATTCAGAATTCTTATCTCTCAATTTTACCTGTAATCTTCCAATGTTTGCATTTGAAAAACCCTTTTAATATTGTATATATGCTGGTAGTTCACACCATTTCTTCTATGGATAGCATCACATGTTAAATTCAAATAAATACATAACAGTGAGAAACATAAGCATTTTCAATAGATTAGGGAAGTAAAACTTTAAAACAAGCTGGCTTACTGGAGCTTCTTTATTGTATCTGCCAAAGAAGATGTGACTACCTAGCAAGCTGAAAGTCTGAAAAGAAGTCCATATTAAGCGGTAAAGATATTTTGCAATATTCTGTTGCATAATCAGTGCAATTTATTACCCCAATATAAGAAAAAAATAATAATCCAAATCTATATGAAAATAGCGGTGCTTCCGATCTGAAATGTTTATTTTCACATGCAATCAATTGTTAATGAGAAATAATTTGGACAAAAACAACTACCATCATTAATCACACAGCGTCTAGCATTGTCCTAAACATCAAATCTAGATGCCTGACAAAAGTGAATCTCTGCAGACATAAGGAAAACAAAACCACACACCCAAATCATTTTATTGGCGTTTTCTAGCTGCTACAATTTAAAGACCATGGTTAATATTGTTCTATGGAAACTTTAGTGTAAACTAGATAGCGGGGATATTGCTTTCAAAGCAATTAAACACTGCCCTCTACAGGTTATTCTAAATCATTTTACCCAAATTCATAGCCAACAGCACCAATATGGAAAAACTGTGAAGAGGATAGAAGAAACAAGATAATAACAAGCAGTATTCTCACTGGACTATGAAATATATTTTGAAAATCATGTGTCAGCCTTGTTGTTTACCAATAGGTGGGTGATGACAAACTTACATAAAAATAGTTGATTGGTTCACTTATACGCCTGAATAGTTGTCTCACCCACAGTATCTTTCCTGCTACTGGTGGCATGTTTCGAGCCAGGGGAGGATTATCCTTTTGTATCTGATAAAGCTATGATAGAACAAAATCAAGTGTCAAATGAGAATGCCATTAATACTTGAGTTACAAGTCACTCTAGAAGCATCTGCATAGGAAGGAATGTAATGTCCAAGACCAAACCTCTACAGTTTGATGTACTACAGACAGAATATTTCCAAGTATATTTGCAAAAAGATTTGCAAGAATTTCTAACTGCAATGGACAGCACCAAGTTGGAAGAGGTTGGATTAGACCATTTTAGCTATTCCAGACTAATCAAGTATAATTTTTAGTAAGGGACTAAAAAGGAGAGGAAGGCAAGCTTGCAAGTGAAACATTATATATTAGAGCTAATTTACTTGCTAATAACTATGAGAATGGAAAGTCACCTCAACTCCCTCTTTCTGCATTATGAATAGCTTTGAAAGGATATCACATTTGTTCTCCTTTCCAGCGTTTTTAAAAAAAAATTAATAATCTTAACGCTAATCAACCCAGTTGGCATTTCCAAAGTAGACAATGTGAAATTAACATCTATATAATATACACAATGAAGTACATTATAGACACTTCATTGCTTCTCTGCCTGTTCTATTGCATTCATAATTTCAGATCTCATTACTAGAAGTGAAGTCTATGAAAGCAAATTAGATGGTTATTATCCTTTTAATTATTTTTGTCTTTGAATAACTGCACAAATAGCTAAAGCATCTATAGGCGGTCCTTGTTTAATGAACACTCGTTCAGTGGCTGTTCAAACTTACAATGGTGCTGAATGAGTGGTAGTTATAATTGATCTTTGTGCTTTCAATCATCTCAGCATTCCCAAGGTCACGTGATTGCAATTTTCTTTGCCAGCTTCCGACAAACAAAGGCAATGGGGAAATCCATAGGTGATCAAAAACAGCAACCATGTGACATTCTTGTTTAATGACCCATGGTGATTCACTTAAGGATGGCAACTGGAAATTTCAGTTTTTTTTCTTTTTCCTAAGTGATGCAATTATCTGAGTTTATGACAGTGTTGCTTAGCAACAGAAATGTCAATCTCAAACACCATTGTTAAGTGAGGACTACTGTATAGCGCCTTTTAAAAAGATACGTGCAATGTAGTTTACAATTTTAAAAGAAAGTCTACCATTTGATTGTACAGACTGTTCATATTTAATAGTTTGTCTTTATTATTTATGTATATTAATATTGAATTACTTCTTATCTTCCATGAGATGTGCCTTGTATAAAACATATCAAAGAAAAAAACATATATGTATAACAGCCCCACATGACTTATTAAAATTTGTCTGTGTGAAGTTAAAGTATGTGCCATAAAATTATCACTTAAAACTGATTCTTCCAATAAGTAAACCTGTTCAAATGAGCAGAAACATATACTAAATACCTTCTTAATTGATTCAAGTTCGGCAACATAGTGCTGAAGAATACGCCCAATTGTATATGAAATTTCATTCTGAAGACATGGCATGTTCAATTTCTGAAACCTACAGAGTTCATATTCAAATACATAAAGGTATGGAATATAATACTGTTAATATAATCAGACTGAAATAAAAGGTTTTTTTTATTTTAAATGATGCAAAGTAGGCTATAAGAACAGTAAAAACTTTGCTTCCAGAAGATCTACTGAATTAATTTGTTGTAGTAAAATCCACAAAGGTCCTATTCCATTATATTGATAAAGACAATTATTACAGCATCCATTTTTATAATAGTTACATAAAGGGCATTTAATAAAGATTGTTCTTTTCAAAGGAAGCTGACAATTTATCAGCTATGCTAATCATAATTATGGAGTACTATCAGATAGGAACTACAAGCATCCAGACAACTTTTAAAGAAAAAGACTTAGAATTTTGTGTAACTATTTCAATTTTTGCAGCTAATATCTGGCAGCTTTTATTATGTATTCTTCCGAAAAGCCGTCAAAACCTGGCTTTGCCGGCAGGCCTGGGGGTGATGAGTTCCCTCCCCTCTCGACATGTATGGTTGTGCGACTGTTGCCTACTTTTATTATTTGTATTTTGTCTTTTATGTTCCCCCTTTTTTTCCCCTTTGAATTGTTCGCCGCCCTGAGTCCTCCCGGAGAAGGGCAGCATACAAATAATACAATACAATACAATACAATATATATATATATATATAATATATATAGTAGTTGTGGTGGAAGTTCAAAAAGCATTAGAGGTTCAGGAAAACAGAAAGAAGAAATTAAAAATAAAGAAGGTGAAGAACATTAAAGACCAAAGAATACCTGATGAAAAAACAAGTTTTGTTATTGGATTAGGTTTTTTCCTACTACATATAATTTGCTAAATAATTAGCTAACTTGCTCTAGCTGAAGAGATATAGTCTATTGTGCTACACACCTACAAAAAAGGGGGGGGACAAGATAATATGGGACTGCCTTTTCTAGATTAACTGTGAAAAGAGATGGTACTTGCCTTTAATCTTTCAAATGAACATAAACTTAACTCTTTACTCAAGTGAAATGCTAATTTAAAATATTTGCTGTACCTCTGAAGCAGCTGGAGAGCATGCTGTGAAGATAAGATTTTTACGAAACAAGCACCCATAAATGTCTGTATTTGGACCTAACAGAAAACAAAACTGAATATTAGTAATTCAGAAATCAACATTCCTTCCTAGAGAGGAAGACAGCCACAGAATAAGAATATAATATTTTTCACATAAAGTCATTGTTTGAGGAAAGAACAACTTGAGGGAAATAGAGGTGGCAAGAATTTCCATTTCTAGGCTATGCCACCCCTCTTTAAGAAACCTTCATCAGATCCTACCTACATAGAAACATCTGTCCAGTTACTCACCTTCCTTTTAGGGAAGGTGGTGGAAAAAGTGATTGTTGCAGCTCCAGAAGTTCCTAGATGAAACAGATTATCTGGAGCAGTTTGTCAGGTTTCAGGCTAGTTATGGGATAGAAACAGCATTAGCTGCACCTATCAATCTCTGTCAAGAGTAGAATGGAAGTAATCCTTGACCTCTCAATGGTTTTTGATAGCATCAACCATGGTATCCTTTTGGGTCAACTGGGGGATTTGGACTAGGTGACACAGTCGTGCATTGGTTCAGTTTTTTTTCTCCAAGGCCAGTCTCAGTTGGTGTTGATAGACAGTGAGAGGTCCAGCCTATCACTGCTCCTCTATGGGGTACTGCAGGACTTTGTACTGTGTTCCTTTTTAACATCTATGCTGGGTGAAAACATCTGTCACCATGGCCTGAACTATCATCGATATGCCAATGGTACTCAACTCTATATCTCTATCCTAGATATGGAGCTATCATAGAAGACTATATAAAAGTTACAATTGGTTCAGAATGCCATGATATAAACAGCTTTGGAGGCACATGTAACATCTTTGTTGCACAAACTGCATTGGTTGCTGATTGGTTTCCTGGGTCAGTTTTAATGAATTGCTTATTACTATTAATGGCATTTATGGCATGGGTCTAAGATATCTGAGGAACCATATTGCTAATTGTGAGCTGCCCAGTTATGGGTATAAAATGGATAGCCATATACATATATAAAGTAAAATAAAATAAATGTATTCACTTAGCAAAACACTTTAAGCCTTATTGAAAAGCCATATAAACAGCTTGCCAAATCTGGGAGTTCAAGTACAGCTCCTCAGGCTAACCAAGGAAACCACAACTTCACGGCCTGTCCTAATCTGAATTAATAAATTTTTCATATTTGAATTGAATTGAGATACTTATGTGACCTACCTCTAAATTTTCAATTTTTGTCATGAAATCTGCAAAGTCTACATCAAATTCTGTTTTCCGTGGGTCAAGGATATCATATTTTTTCTTTTGAACACTTTGGTAGATATTTTTGAATTTAATTGCCATAATATCAATTCCTTCAATGGTAGACATACTCAGTGCAGAAAAAGTCTGAACAATCGTAATCATCTCTGTTATCTAAAATCAAAAAGGTTGTTTTTTTCAAGTATTAATTATGATTTCTTTTAATATTATATTTTTCTTAAATGAAAAGTCTTGCACAAAACCATCAAACATCAGACAAAAAATTCACCCATTACTGTACTATAAAAATTGTACTCCTAAGATGACTTTATATTTTAAAATATTTTTTCCAGGAAAAAAATCCTCAATTTTATTTTTCAATTATAGCAGTTACGAAGTATAGGGGTAAATTGATTTAAGTAATATATGATTGACAACTATTGACATATTTTATCTTAAGACAAACATAAAAGATAAAACATATTTTATCTTTTCAAAGTTATCCTTATATTTATTCTTAATCTGATTTGTATGGTCATCCATTTCATCTAAGCAACTCTGGACAGCTCATTACAGGCTGAGGTTTGCTTGGTACCCAACAGTCATTGAATTTAGTCACATTTTAAGAACAAAACACTTCAAATATATTCTGTGCTCCTTGAGACAATAGAGACTTTATCAAGTGTCCAGAAGTAAGCTAGGATTTAATAAAGTTTATTCAGTGTCACATTTTGCTTCATTGTCTGCCTAATAGTTTCTTCAGTAAAAAGTTAGGTGCGAAAAGCTTTTCTTTGATAGTGGAAGTGATGGGGCCAATTATTTCTTTTTGGTCTTATTAATTCCTTTTCTTTCTTCCTACCAGGTTTCATTTTTTTAATCAAACCTTTTTAAGACTTTCTCATTCTTTTCCTGAAATCCTTCCATTTCCACTCTGAGCCATTTATTCACACATTGGATTACTAAATTACAACTATGAAATACTTTATTTCAGGTTGAGTTCAACTGAACTATATCCTGAATCACAAAGTAGGCCCAAACCAAATCTACGGTACTGTAGTTGTTGTCTATCTCTATATGTGCCTGTATTACTGTCAGTTGTTTCACTGAGTCCTTGGTTGAAATAAACCAGGATGCTATTATATGGTTTTCTGCTGAAGCATACCAAAGAACTTCCATATTTATAAAGCAAACATTTTCAGTCATGAATTTTTATATCAACCTGAAATGTTATGTCCTAAACCACAATGACAATGAGGAACAAGTTAGGCAAAAGACTGAGGCTTTCTAAAGAGGACTTACTTTTTCTAGTCTTTTACAGAAAGCTTCGAATTTGCCAAAAATGTACATCTCAGATACTTCGAATGTCTTCTCTCCTGAAGTTTCCAAAATTTGTTTTCTTGTTTTATGAAAACTTTTCTGATATTCTTTAAACAAAAAAATACAGTCCTAAAATGTTTTTAAAAAAAACACATTATGTAGCAATTACCATCAGAGTGTAATTAGTAAGATTATCTAGAGGCATAAGCCTTATGATTAGAGTGGATATAAATTCAATAAATTTAATGCATACATATAATTTACTGTAGGAAAAAGCCCACCATTTATAGATCTTTTACAAAGAACTTTTCCAATTAGAACTTTATTTTAGGTTCATATCTTCATAATTAATATTTTATATGGTTTAATGCTGTCAAGTGAAATATGAAGAAATCTAAATCTGTTTTAGATCATAGGAGCAAGCAGAAGCTTTAGAAGGGAATTTTTTCTTAACCTACATAATAAGGTTCTTATACTGATTGCTAATAATTTCTTGCTAATTAAGGAAAAAATATTGACAAGATGCTTACTATTTTCTAATAATTCAAAATTGATTTCTTTTAATTTCCAAGCATAAAGACTATGCAGTACAATGGTGGAGTAAATCTCCAGAGGCCCAATTAAGCAGAAAACTCCACATTGGTATAGTTTTTAATAAACAATCAGGTAAATTATGGCTTTGTATGAATTTTGCTAATAGTACTAATGAGAGTTCATGATAATAAGTTAGGTAACATGAAAACCAAAATCTTGTTTTATAGTGGTAATACATCACGCTAATCCCATTATAGGGATTCAGAAGGGAACAGAAAAAAATAACACAGAAAATATATACAGCATTACAAACTTACCTTAATTTTCTGAATTACTGTTGGAGTACCCTGTTCCCATACACGGCTAAACCCTCCATCAGTAATATATGCTTTACATGCTGTGACCATCTGATTTGTAACCTATTGTATTTTTAAAAAGGAAAAAAATACATAGTTTTTAACATCAAAGTTCAGCATTTTTCAGGTTTCCAGAACTTTGTATATAGCTAGTTATTTAGATGTGCTCTCCCATTAACAGTAAAAAAAAATGCCCAAAGTTTCACAGCAATTGCTAATGACAAACTAAAGGATTTTGGATTTGGATTTTGGATTTTTAATAGCATTTATAGGCCGCCCTTTTCCCTGAGGGGACTCAGGGCGGCTTACAATAACAAAGAAGGGGAGTGAAGACAAAACATAAAAAGAAATGTGCAATAACTGAAAAATACTAAAAACACAACATTCTCTCAGCATTCGGGAGGGGCGGAAGAGTTTATCCCCAGGCCTGACGGGCTAGCCAGATCTTGAGGGCTGTACGGAAGGCCTGGACTGTGGTCAGGGTACGAATCTCCACGGGGAGATTGTTCCATAGCGTCGGAGCAGCAACTGAGAAGGCTCTCCTCCGGGTAGTCGCCAGTCGGCACTGACTGGCGGATGGAATACGGAGGAGGCCCGCTCTATGCGATCTGATGGGACGCAGGGAGGTTATTGGCAGAAGGCGGTCTCTCAAATAGTCAGATCCACTACCATGGAGCGCTTTATGGGTGGTAAGTAAGACCTTGAATTGCACCCGGAGATCCACAGGCAGCCAGCGCAGCTCGCGGAGGATAGGTGTTATGTGGGTGAACCGAGGTGCGCCCACAATCACTCGCGCGGCCGCGTTCTGTACTAGCTGAAGTCTCCGGGTGCTCTTCAAGGGCAGCCCCATGTAGAGCACGTTGCAGTATTCCAGCTTAAAGGAATCTAATTACCAGTACTGGGGGGGGGGCATTAAAATTTAAAAGAAACTATTCCTACAAGTGCCTTGGTTTGTAAACTTTTTTCTGCCTTTCCCCCCTTTTCTTTCAAGATACTATAATGAAAACAAGCTTGCATCAGACTAGTCTCAGACTGTTCTTAAACCATTTTTATGCCTGACATTATCACAAAAACTGGATAATTTACAGTAAAATCGCATATTTAAAAATCATTTTATTATATAAATCCTAAAGACAAGAGGGTGCTTGAAATCTTTAAAAGTCATACTAATAGACTTAGGCTTAGGTTACATCTGAATTACATCTGAACTACAGTCCACCTTTGATGGCACAATAAACAAAGATGCATGTTCTGCAGTGTGACACCATCTCTTGCATTTAATTTTTCCACAATTAAATATACTCTGTGTGCACACATATGAAATTAGGGATCTCCAACTGTTTGGGGCTACTGATTATATTGATCTCCTAGAATGCCACCTAACATTCCTCTAACACCCAGAAAACTCTCCCTGGTTTACCTCCCTGCCCTCTCATTTCCTTTGTGCTCCCTTCCAAAGAGATGACTGGATAGCCCTGGCTATTTTAATTTTCCAAGAAAGCTTATTTTGTTCACTGTGGTTGTGGCTACGCAGCTGGAGACTCGGTTTCAAACATGACACCTTTTAAAAATTAAATGTTTTGAAATGTAATTTTAAATTAAATTTGAAAAAAAACAACAACAGAGAGGGAGTCTACTTGAAGCCAAGGAAAATAATGTCTGCTAATACTTGGGAAACCTCAGAGGGTGCCCTATTGAGATTTCATATGGCCCTTTGGCCATTTAGAGTGAATATGTATATCAGTTCTTACAATACATATTGTTGTTTAATGATACATTTGCCAGCAGATGTAAAACATTGAAATATGCTGTATACATCAGAAAAGTATAATCAACACTGAGACTTGCCCAACATATGTTAAGAATGCTCTCCAGTCCACTGGTTAAAAGCACTTACTTTGATAAAAAGAGATGTCATTTTTTCAGAAGTATTGTAATATCTGGAAACACTATGAATCATTCTTATAGCATTAATCAAATTCTGTATTCCGTGGGCCATGGAAACCTAAGAGAAATATTTTGTAGAATTCAGAGTGAAAGATGGCATACTTTAAGCTACCAGAAAGGAATGACGATGGGTGCAAGAGTGAGATGACTGTTTTCAGAACAAGTCTAAATTCCTAATGACTAAAATGAGAAGTACCAGGGTGAATAATTTCTTCGTTGCAGTTAAAAGGCAAATTTCTGGATGCAGTTCCTTCCCCCATTTTCTTTACACTCAAAAAACAGTATTTTAAAAAGTAATTCTTCATTTTGGAATCACTCTTCTAGTCCGAGAATGATTAAGGCAATTTACAATAGACTCATAAAAATAATAAAGCACAACTTATTACAAGTAAATTATACACTATTTTCTATCATGTCTTCTATTGTATTTCATATGAATTCATTCCAAGTTCTCCTTTCAGTCTGGGTTATACTTTAGATTATTGATTGTTTCTTCCTTATTTTAGATTCCTATCTACAGCCCACTCTTGACAATTAATTTAAATCTACCTCATCAACAAAAAGATGTAAGTCAGTAATAATAATTGACCCTAAAACTCAGATATTTTATGACATAATAACATCTAGAATATAGTTAGATGTAGAATCTTCTGCTTTTGGTATACATTTCAAAGCCATTTATTTATTTATTTAGCATTTATTTATTTTACTGCATGTACTGTAATAGAAAATGTAACTACATAATATACACAAAACTAAATATTACTGCAGATTTCTTCAAATGTTACTCACTAAATCGTAATTGTAGAGTGGCTGACAAACTTTTTCAAGTGTATATAGATATCTAACATTATCCTTGGATTCATTTGCTGTATCTGTTATTCTGGCATCCAGTTCTCGCCACAGCTATAGTAAAAACAAAATATTGAACTTTTAAAACACTGAACTAAATGTGCACAATATGTAGTGGAAATGTAATTACATTCTAGCTATACTTGGAATAGATAAATAAATAAATATATGAATACATAAATAAATATACTTAAAAGCCTACAGATTCAAATTCTTGGTAACTACATAAATTATTTAAAGAAAATTGTTTCATTTTACCACCAGTGATTGTACTCACTGTGAGACTAGGGATTATACTTCATATGCAGCAAAACTATATTGTTTACTTATTAAATAAATTTATATGGCTCCCAATCTACCAAATGAAAACTTTTAAAACAACAAACAAGGTTGAGGCCCCATAAAACTGACATCATCCATCAGCTACCCCATGTCAGTTCTATCCATATGCTACACTAGTACCTTGGGAAGAATTTTAATATTTTTCCTGAAGACCATCAGGGTCACAACCATGTATATCAGAGGTGAGGCATTAGAATGGTGCCATGACAGAGTAGTCATGCTGACTTTCAAATTGTTCTGAATGCTGAGGCAGCACAATACATTAGGACATTGCCTCACTATACTAATGCACTTATGTAGACTGAAAGGGAATACTTTCATACTGGGGAAATAGTACAGTATAACAATGCATTCATGCAATGCTATGCAGCTAATTCAAGATTGTGGAAATGGAATAAAAAAATGGAAGGGCATCTGCTTACAATGTTGTCTGCTGAGAGCAGTAGTAACCCATTGGCTGTCTCTTCAAACCCAGAGGGGTTTGCAGCCCATGGGCCAAATGCGTTATATGCTGGCCCTGCCCCCCCCAGTTTAGCGAAGGTGGGAAAAGTACTAATATATCACATGACACCGCTGTGATGCCGCAAGTTTGACACCCCTGCTCTAGGCTCTAAAAACTGTTCTAATTCAGTCATCAAAAGTTGGACTTGGGATTTACAAAAAATGTCAATACTCATATCTGAGTAAAGTTGCCACAAGCTAGCTCCAATTTTCTGAATGTTAAATTAGAAGAAACCAATTGTCCCATATAATGGTAGTAATATCAAACAGTCAACCAAATCATATTGCTGTCAAATGCAATTCTGGCACTTAGAGAAATAGATGCATTACATCTAAGTGCTTGCCCACACACAGAGACCACAAGGCAATGAATTTAAGCCCAATTTTTTAAGAACCAGGGTTTTGTGCCAAATACTAAGCCATTCAACTCTACCCACTCCATATTTCCAAGCAGACATGTTAGATAACTAGATTTATTGTGGAGAATTGGAAGCTATCTAACCAATAGTCACCCTGTCTTGCGCTCTATGTATCTTAGAGGCCAGCTTTAAATTGTGGATCACTTTCTCCCAAAGTTTCTTTACTTGGCCTTGAAAGTACTGCCCTCTGTCCTTTATTTACAAAACAACTTTGATGTGAGAATCAGATCCCCATCTCACCCCTTGACCCTTACATATAGTTCAGGGCTGTCAAACTCTCGGGCCATGGGCTGGATGTGTCACATGCTGGCCACGCCTGGTTTAGCAAAGGGGAGGAAAGTCCCAATACATCACGTGACACCGCCATGATGACATGATTTTGATGCCCCTGATCAACATCATAATTTATGTGTAATATCATTGGACTAATGTAATCATTTTAACTGATTAAATTAAAACAAATACTTCTTTTGAAATGCATGCTTATGAGAGTGTCACAATACTAATACATGTTAGCAATTAGAGCCACACCAGGCAGATATGCAAGTTTATATTTACTAAATGGAAAAAGTATAATGCTTCAAACATGTGATAACATGTTTATGAAGTTAAAGAGGTACAGAGTCAAGCTTAACTCTTGATGATTGCATGCAATTTTCCTGGCAGAAATATGAATATATTTTAATTGATATTTTTTTACTTCCCAAGTTAGCCTAGTGTGATTTTGTAGTAGGCTCCCATCCAAGTTCAAGGCAGGCCCAACCTGTTTAACTTGTTGAGCTCATCCAGGGCTGCTTAGTTATTACCTCTTACCACACATTTTCATTGAGATTATATTATTTTAAAAAGGGAATGGGGACATATTGAAATAGACTGTATATACTCATTAAAACCTCATTGTTTTTTTTAAAAAACCCAACAACTAAGAATTACCTTTATAATTTTGGAACGTGAAACATTGAGAACATTTATGACAGCTTTGCAAGGTTGTCCTTTAATCTGCTCAATAATAAAATTAAATTTGGCAGACATACGCTTCCAGTGCTCTAATTCGGTAAGTGGACCTGAGTCATCAGCTTCCTTTCTCATCTGTTCACTCTCAATCAAAACCTGCCAATGTTAAATTTGTATAAGATAAGTACCATGTCTGTGTTGCTATGTCACATTCAAGACTGTCACATGACATTTTGTTGCAATGGCATCTGCAGGCCATGCCTGCTTTCCTCAGAAAAAATTAAGGCTGGCATGCAGTACCATGTTCCAAGCTGCATTCCAAGATGCATTTAGGCAAAGGGTGAGGCTTGCATTGTTATGCTGTTTGCATCACTCTGATCCCTGTGCCTCCAGCACAGAAACCATTGTCTTCATCTTGCAACATAAGCTGCAGAGCACAAAAGTGTTTTTAGAAATCTCACAAGTGCTTCTGTTCACCACCACCTTCATCATCATCATGACCCTTACCTTCATCAGAGCTAATAGTTTGCTACTCTTTTAAGATATCCAAAATTAGCTCCTTGAAATCCCTATCTTAGGCTGACATCTTCAATTAATACTTAACTATCTGCTGAAATAATATTTAACTTGCTGAAATATAGTTGCACATCATTTAGGCTATTGGCTTTTACAGCAATTCCAAGAGCAAATGAGGTACCAACCTGTTTTGATCTGAAATAATAACTCATTATCTTCATTAAAAGGAACCCACCTTCCTAAACCTTCAGGGTAAAATCACAGCACAAGCAAATGCTTGGCTAATCTAGAAAAGATTTTGCTTTAAAAAACATGTTTGGAATGTTGACACAAGCCAGTTTTCACCAGCTTCGAAGTATCAAGGTGTCCCTGTATTTTATAATGTGTTTGGCCACCACAGTGAACAGTTCTATGCTGAAAAATATGCCACAGAAATGCCTTCTTCCTTGTTCTTTTTTTAAAAACTATGCTTCTTATTCATACTCCTCTGCTTGTCTAGGGTACCAGAAGATGCTTACTTGCTCAATTTGCTTGTACCATATCATAAGTGCATCCTCCAATTGATGTATAATATCTGGATTGGCAGCTGCTGCTGTCACTTCCTCAAAAGACTGGAATTTGGAAAAGTCAATGCTATCTATTTTTTTCAGTTGAACAGTTCCCTGGATGCTCACTCTAGCACCTACAGTATGTATAATGAAAAAGAACATTTTCAGATTCTAGCATTTGTTTCCTGGGATGTTTCATTACAACAGTTTGTATTCTAGGGAACAACATGTAAGATGTCCTTTTTTTCAAGTTTTTGCACATTCTCAGGTGGTGCTGCACCTGGCAAACATTATGAATGAAAAGATTGAAAAAAAGAATCCTACCTCAAAGATACAAGTATATATAGACCACAGCTTGCCAGAATCTATGAAGCTAATTTGGGTGCTAAGAGTCTGGTTTCACAGGATTGTAAGTGGAAGATTCCAGAAGCAGAAGAAATGGGATCCTCAGAGTAGCCTGAGAGGTAGTGTTACAGATCACAGAAGAGATAAAGTGACTTCTTTACAGGCGTTGTGAAGTCAGTAAGAAAATCAAAACTGGAGATCTCTAAGGGAGTGGGGGAGGTTGTCTCAAAAGCAGGAGTCAAGAAAGTACAAAATTTATGGAGCTGGGTATGCAAGTCTCAGAAACAACAACACTACACACACACACACATGCTCAGGGTGAAAGGAAAGGAAGGGCTTAACCTGATGTATGGCTAGGAAAAAGAGAAAAGGGAAATGGTGAGTCTAGTAAGAGACAGCCTCAAGAAGTAAAGGGATAAACTTTTTAAATTAATGGGAGGAGAAGCAAAAGAGCAAAAGGGAGAAAGCATAAAGCGCTCTAATTCAATACACATATATAACTACTTAACACATTAAGTACTTAATATATTATGATATAAGTACAATAGCTTTGCTTAAAATCTAAGAAAATGAATAAACATACTGTTGTTAGGGAAAATCCAGAAGAGGAACTCACTGGGGAAGTTTTAACAATGCATTTCTCTTATTAAACAAATTGTCGTAGGAATGTGATATACAGGGATAAATGATTTCTGTAGACTTGACAATGAAAGTACATATAACACAAATGTGAATTTCTTTAGATTACCACTCTGCAATCTTTAGGAATGGCCTTGAAGACCAGTCACTTGGTTAAATGCACACAATCAAGTGCACTTTTTGATTTGTGGAAATTATCCTCACTTGTAATCTTCCCCTGAACTAAAATGCTCTGACAATCCACTGCTTTCTTTTGGTCATATGATACTAGCTCATTCCAGTTTTTAATTTTAGTCAGTCTTATGATGACTTT